CTTAATATCTATACATATTATTCTAATTGTAGTTTCTGTTTTTTTTTTTTTTGTAATATCAAAAGAAAAATTCCTGATTTCATGAATGTGATGTATTTGCTTTGCTGATAGATTATTATAAACTAACCTGGTACTCTCCGGTACTATAAGGGGTGTGAGTATAGCCAGCAGCATCGGCAGCGAGGTGGCCAGCACGAAGTACCGCCAGTCGGAGATCCACAGCGCCAGCCACGGCAGCAGCAGGCAGCCGCCGCCGAAGAACAGCGCGATTGACATGTTGGCCACCAGCGTGCGGTACCGAGTTCCTACGTACTCTAAAACTGGAAGAAAATGGCTCATAACTATGAGCTAACACAACAAAATAACACTAAGGGTCTGAAGGTTCTGAAACTATTCGGTGTCGTCACCGGAGGATAAAAACGTAAGTTGAGCCGTTTTTAATTTCTGCATAAAGTAATGTCTTACGATAATTTAAAAAATGTAATTTTAAAGAATAAATTTTCTTAAACTCACCTAGGATGTATATGATCATAAAGCAGCTATCACAGGACATGCCCACTATAAACCGGCACATCGAGAAATCCCAGAAACCGTTCGTGAACATGGTCGCCACACCGCCCAGACAGCCCACGATATTCGCGACTGAAATTTAAATTTTTCAAGCATACTAGAACTAGGAGTAGGGATTGCAAAATAGATTTATTGGAAAATTGCTTTAACATCACAGAATTAAACATCGAAAAGAAAAGGAAACTAGAAACTTCGTAATTTTATCCTCATCTCATCATCTTATCTACAAATCTCTTTATTAATAAAACTGAAATAAAAAGACATGATCTTACGAGAAAAATGTGCAATTCGATTTAAATATTGTTCTATGCTACGATTTGAGGATCAAACCTCCTCGCTCTAGCGAAGATAGGAATGTGAGGAACTTACAAATTAAAACAGGAAGTCGACCGTACTTGTCTGCCAGCGTGCCGCAGACGATACCACCGAAGATGGAGCCGACGAAATTTATCGTCTGAGACCACGGCACATTGCTCGCCTGATCGCACACCCATTCTCGCTATAAACATAACAAAGTAATATTATAAAGAGGAAAGATTTGTATTTTTGTATGTATTGAAACTCAAAAATTACTGAGCCGATTTAAAAAATTCATCATTAAAAAGTTACGATATCAGTTAGTAAAACAAGCTAAGTATTTTGTTATTTTTTAATTTATTTCTGACGAAGTCGCGAGCAACAGCTAGTAAGCAATAAAAGGCATTCTTATTTTGATTTACTGTAACTTAACTAACCTCGTTAACAACAGTCGAGTAGGGTATATCATCAAAAAGGAACTCCCAGCCGTTCTTACAAGGGACAGTTGGTGTGCCGGGCTCCGGAGGCACCAGGGTCTGCAGCACTTGCGTCCAGTTGGCGTCATACATCCTGCAATGGTCGTAGTAACCTTCGACCGCTCCAGGAATAGACAGGGTTCGCCTGAAATTATTGAAATTTTAGAGGAAATATAAAAGTGTGCTTAATGCAAAAATTATATGTAGTCGAAGTAATTTTACAGATAACCTTTTAGAAATGACCAGAAACATCATAAGTATTGCAATTCAACCGATAGTTTTTTTTATCGTCTTTTTTTCGTTCGCAACACATTCACAATTTATACTGGGCAGCAATTGCTGTTAAAAGGCTGTGTAAGGTGTTATTTCAGACCTGAGTTCTACACCAAGGCCAGCCAGCTCTGGCACTAGACACCAGTGCTCCTGCGGTGTGGCGGTGATGAATATCTGCCCCATATACACGAAGGCCCACACCATGCCAAATGGCAGCATGCATATAAACAGCAAGCGCTGGTACAAGCCAAGCTCGCCAACGTGCTCGATGACCCTATCGAGTGCGCCGCCGATATCTCTTGTGATGTCCTTATTCTAGGAACGAAAAATTAAAATTTTAATTATTTTCGTATGACAAGTATACTCAAATAAATTCTCAGGATCATAACCATAGAGCTGTAACAACTTTTACGAATATTATTAGGGATATCCTAGATTTTTAAGGCATTCATTTTCTAAGCAATAATGAGGTGTTTCATTTAAAAAAGAACCATTTAAAAGGAAAAGAAACGCGACGAAAAAATCCTATTAAAAATAAAAAAAATACCACACCTATAACTCAAACGCAGTGATTCACAAGCTTTTTTTTTTTGTTGCGGCATATATTTAACTATTTCAAAATTTGGTGGCACACAAAGAAAAGATAAAAATTATTTACAACTACTTACAACACCCTGCATAAATGTTCAAAGTGCCGCGGCACAGTGGTTGAGAATCACTGTTCTAATGCATGAAACAAAGAATGACATATGATACGACAGTTAGTTGAAGAACTTAAAACTTTAATACCCACTGTGTTTATTACTAGCAATTTAATTATTGGAACATACCTCGGTACTTTCATTTACAATTATTTCATTATCGCCTGCCATTTTCGTTTTCTTACTCGATGAATTCACGTACGAATTATTGATAAGTTACCAATAAACTGATCCACTGTTGATAATTAATACTCTTATCCTAATATTTTATTTCTAAGATAAAATAATCTTACTTTACTCTTTATGTATAAGTTTGAGATACAGATATGTTCGCCTTTCAATGTCATGTTTAATCAGTGTAAACCTTTACAATTTTTGAGTAGTTTATATCATAAGCTATCAAACATCCAAATCAAAAGGTATCGATAAAATCTGCTTATCATTAATTATTGTGTAAGCCAGCTCTCAACTTAGGCAAAGTAGAGTTCTTTGGTAGTGAAGTGATGAACAAATCATACGAGATATCGGCGCGGGGGTCGTCAGACAAATTGATACGAGGGAAACAAATTACGCGCCTGATATAAAACAATAGGAAAAAACGAATTTTGTAGTTTCACTGATCTCTATAAATGGACAGGCTAAAAGACGTGATGTCTTGTGCCTGTTTGATTTTTGTAATTCTGGCATTGACTGTATTGATTGGTAATGAGGATTCGAACCTAGAATAGACATAGAATTACGATCAATAACTTGGTGACCAAGTGCATTTATTTCAAAGCATAAGCTATTATTTCCAAGCAATGGCTTATCTAATAATACAGATCATTCCTTTTTGTAACTGTCAATTGGAAACGTTCCGAAACTTAGTACTTCGTAATTTTACACTTTAAAAAGACGTGTTCCTTATTTTTTCCTAATATTAAATGTTAAAAAAATACGCAAACTGTAATAGTTAACATACCAAAAAGTTTACTTCGTTTTGTATTTCGTATTTCTAATGTTTTTCTTCTATAAACATGAAAAACAAGAATGTTAACAAGAAGTTTAGGTTTACGAACGTGCCAACGATGACATTAGATATGGCATGATTTTTTCTCAAAAAGTGATTCAGTCGCAGTAGCTCATATTTTTCATTTTGAGAAATATTTGTTTGTCAAATAGTAATGAAATTGCGGATTGATTATAAAACTGAGAGTGCTCAATAAAAACGTGGATCAAAACCACTTCAACTGTAAGTGCGCTTTGCAACTATTGTGTTTCATGTACCGTTTGTTGCTGTTATTTGCTTTGGATACAGTAATAATATCATGGAATGAAGTTATTGTAAATGTTAGCATGTGACTCAAGGCCACCATGTCCTAACCGTTTAATTGGATTGAAATATCCAACTAATTTGCATATAGCAAAATTACGCACAGACTATCTGCAAAGCAAATATTGTGATTACGAAATTCACTTTGTTATCACTTTCAAAACAATGTACACTGTTGTATAAACAACAATTGATCTGCATTATCTCCTCCGATTGTTCTAAATTTCATTCTCATGTCAATGATAAAGATATTTTTCGCATTTTGTGTTATTCAAACTTTCGTATGTTCTGCAGTTAGCAATCTAAACTTTGTGGATCCTATTAAAAGTTACATGTTTAATAAATATTTGTATGGTGAATTATTTTTAATGCAGACAATATGTGATAACTGATATGTACAATGTTGCCTGCAGTGGCAGTTTTAGCACCACTATGCCTTCTTTACCAGTTTTGGGGGGGGGGGGACTTAACAGGTTTATGTATGACTGTATCTGCCATAATCTGGCATGGAACCTGATAGCATTAATTTTTCACTCTAGAACTGCTGCAGAAAAAAAAAATAACAAAGAGTAAAATTTAAATTTTTAGCTTTAATAATTTTGCAAAACAAATACAAAACTCATATTTGAAATAGTGTGAGCAAATATAAGAAATATAATGCAGAAACTCTCTTAAAAAAAGTATACCTATGAAAAGCTCACAGATCAGCAGATCATGCTCTGTCGTGGGGCCGTGGCACAACAGGGAACACAAGCGACGTGACGTTGCACCCTGCCGGCGCCGGTGGGGCCGCGCCAATATGCTGTCTGCCATAGCCTGCCTCCTGGCATTCATTGCAAGAACCACAGCCAATGTATATGTTTACACAATGGATACGCCACACACGGTAAATACATACTTTTATATGCTAATAATTGTATTTATAGCTTAACCAGAGAAATCAAAACCTTCATCATTTTGTGGAAAAACATGAAGTTTTAATGAATGTTAATGATGTAATAGATAAGCCAATAAAAGCAGTACTAGACCTTCCTGTTTGGAAGGACATTTTTTGTAGACTATGTAAAGTAATTTGTATCTCTAATATATATTGTCAGATTTAAAAGTAACTCTATTGGACATTTCTAGTATAAAAAATGTTTATTACTAACAAAATTGCAGAGCATTACTTGAGAATACCCATTTTGTATTTTTTAATACAACTTTGCAAAATAGAAAAATAATGTTTGGTCTCTGAAAATAACCGATATTTTTAAAATTTTTTTTAACATGATATGCATGTTCATATTATCATGTTGGTAATTTTATATCCAACATAACTATCCAACTTGAATAGCATTTGGCAACACACAGTTGCACATGTTTTTGCAATTAAAAAGAAATTTCATTGCATGACTGACTCCTACATAAGCACATTAACATAATGAATAATACTGATATAAAACATGTATAGATTTCAGCCTTCAATCATATGTTGCTATTTTACATGGCATTATTGATCATAAAAAAAAGTGGATGTAATAATCATAAAATAATTAGTTATAAAAAGGCTCACAAAGTTTAAATTATTTATTATTATTTTTAAGCATATGAATAGATAGATAATCAGTATATAGATTTTTTATTTAATTTATATATAAAAGCCAGTTACATGGAGATACAGTAATTTTAATAAGGAAAAAAATTGTAACTACTTAATAAAATTCAGAAACTTTATTAAAATATTCTATGATTGTGTGTTTAGATTGAAAAGTCACAATTATTGATTTAAAAGTGTTTTTATTTTTAACTTTGTTCTAAAGACCTAGTGATACAATTTAAACAAGGTTAAATAAGATAAGAGTGTGTGATAAATATTTAGTTATCACAGTATTAAAATATCTAAGGTATTCATAAAAAAAATAAAAAGGAATTCTTCTTGATCTCAACACTTATTCTCCTTTGTTTTGTTTAGTTAAAATCAAAAAATAAGAATTGCATGTAAGCTTTTTTAGTTTTATATTTAAATTATAAGCTTAAACTCTTTTTATAAAATTTTTTTACGAAAAAATCAAAAATCTTCATATCTTTCGATTAAGTCATACCAATGGATGTTAATGAATGCCACATTTAGTACAATTAATAAGTACATTGTTAACACTACCTCTTGTTAGTCAAATACACTGAAAACTGAATCATATTACAAAGAGATAAAGTCCATAATAAAAGTTTGACTATCAATTAATAGTAGAGTATGAACAAAAGAGTTATAATTACGTTTTTTGCTGACTTAGATTGATATATCAAATGTCAGGATTTTTTCTTATTTATGTTAATAATTTGATGAGAATATTTTGGTTATTTAAAATTTGTGTTTTAAACTAACTTACTGTGTTGGCGCAGCGACTCAAAGTGGGTCTTGGCCTCTGAGTAGTTTTGAACTACTAAAGGAATATAAATAAATGAGTTTTTTATGGGTCATTTGAGAGTGAAGCAATGTATTAACTATTATATACAATGCTTCCTGAAAATACCTAAGGAAACCTTATTTTATACTACTACACATAGAGAATTTTATTTACGTTATATTTAATCTTATTTGTTTACAGCAAGTTATCTCAGTAATCCACTAACATTGTACACATTAATGACCAGCAAATCTATGTGTTTTGTTATACTACTTTATTATTAAAACTCGTCTGAGTTTCCATGGTTAACATTTTTATAAAAAAAAAGTTTCTCATGGTCATTAAAAAAAAACAGATATAAATATGTCATTAGAGATGTAACCAAGCATTTGTTCAAAAATATGTCTCATGTTAAAATAAAATGAAGCCTTTGTTTTTTGAAAATGAGGATTATCGAAATTGCCCTAGTAATTTTTGAGTTCATTCATTATATACAAAATTACATCTTTCCTTACTAACATTAGTAACAAATATATATTAGTGTAGTGAGTAACATAGGGCATGTTTATAAATTATTTTAAAAATTCACGTTGAAGTAATCGCGAGCTACAGATAAAATGACATATGTACATTTCGCATCATTAGTGTGGGAATTATATGTTTATTTTTTATGTTAAGATAGCGCAGGAGTTCCCCGACATGCCGGCGACGTTCGGCGGTGAGGTGCCGATGACGGGGCTGCGCGGGCTGCTGGTGCAGGGGGAGCCCGAGGACGGCTGCTCCGCGCTGCCGCCGCCGCCACAGGTCACTGACAACTTCACCGGCAAGTGGATGGTGCTGCTTGCAAGGTACACAATAACATTTAATATAAGGCTTGCTCGGTGCAATACCACGACCAAAGAAGACAAGTGGAATTAATTCCGTAATTTGACTTCCCTTTCCACATTTTTCATACAAGAATAGAATTATTTAGTAGAGAAAAAATTACCGGTATTCATCTGCAAACGCGGATGTCTATGGGCACAAGACTCTTCGCTATTTTGGCGAATTCCGGTGGCTATTTGCTTGTTTATCACACTATACTACAAAAACATCCTTATATATGTGAATTGAAGTTTTCTTTAAGTATCTTGAAAACATTCTTAGTTTGTAGAAACTTTAAATAATTGTTTGTATGATGATGAAATTATTTCTTTCATTCTTTACTATTTCTATGTTATTCGATAGAACTAGAAGGTAAATCTTATATTTCAGGTATAACTGCAGCTTTGAGATAAAGGTTCGTAACGCGCAAGCTGCCGGCTACGACTGCGCCATTGTGCATAATGTTAACTCCAGCGATCTTGGTGAGTCTTACAAAGTACCGAAGAAACATCATATGTCGCCATAACCCACTCTTCTTAGATTAGAAGTTTTGCCGCTGTAAAATGTTTATTTGTAATGCATGTAATACAAAATTTCTATGACTAATTTTATTTCTAAGACACTTTTCTTTATATTATACTATTCTTATCTTACTTCTTACTAATATTATGACTGTCGAAGTTTGGATGGATGGATGTTTGTTAGAGTTCGTATGCCAAATTGCTGAACGGATCTCGTTGTAATTCGGCATCGATATAGGACACTAGCTTTCGCCCGCGACTCCGTCCGCGTGGAATTAAAAAAATCAAAAGTGCATAGCCTATGTGTTCTTCGAGCCCCTCTGTATTTATACCAAATTTCATCGAAATCCGTTCAGCTGTTTGGCGTAGTTATTTATATTAAGTTAATTTTTATGTAGTTATTAAATAAATAAATGTTCATCTCAAGTCAATCCTTCCGTAATTTAACGTTAACTTGAACGACCTCTTATCCGTACGTTAACCGCGTTGATATCGCGGACTGCAGCCGCATTCTCGTGCGGACTGTGCTGATATACAGACATGGCATATTGCAATAATTTATTACTAAATATCATGTAAGTCTGTTTTAATGTGCTTTAAAAATTCAAACCATCTCTAGATTTCTTATTTGATCTGTGGTAAGAGTGTTGTAGACTTTCTCTAATTAAATAAGTTCCTCTCTTTTCTCAAGTTTTCTCCATTCTGCATAGGGTCTAAATTACCTTAAAATACAAATTATAAAAACTTGTAATGTTATTTATTTTTTATTTAGAAATATTATGAAATCTTTGGTAACCTTTACCTGATATAGGTTTAATTATATTTTATGTTTAAAAATAATCTTAATTATTTTATAAAGGTAATTTATAGAATTAATATTAATCTTCTGCCAAGTTAAATGTTTCAGTTTGGACGTGGCCAAGGCCTTTGATCGGGTGTGGTATAAAGCACTTCTTTCGAAGTTGCCTTCCTACGGGCTGCCCGAGAAACTCTGCGCCTGGATTTCCAGCTTCTTGGAGGGTCGGAGCATCAAGG